ATTATGTCCAAGTGTTTTCTTTTTATGTGGGGAGATGTACAAGCCAATCCTAAAATGAAGAAGGAAGTACTTTCTGAGTGATAAACATTGTGAAGATTTATAAGTTAAATAGAAAAACCCATCCACTTGGGAGCTACAAAGTAATCCTGTGAGCCATAGAAATCTCCACTAACTGAATAGATAGTTATCAAAGATTGTGTAATGTCTTTTTTCGTTCCTGAATCTGAGATTTGATCTTTTTTTTGGTTTTGAACCAGATGCCCTTCGGAGATCCCTCTGTGGTTCTAAGTAGCTCTTCTGAATGTGAAATCTGAAATATGGTCACAGGAAACTTCATTCATGTATGCTTGTTTGCTTTGTTTTCTCTTTCACTTGCAGATTATCATACAGCTGTAATCATAGGTGCTGTATGTTTCTCACTGGTGTTAGCTGGTGCCCTGAAGTGTGTACATGCAGCAGGATATATTCTTCCCAAACAATCACTTCCATGTAGCTTGGTATGTAATAATTCTCATATATAATCTTCCTGGTTGGGAGGAGGAAGTTTACCATCTAAAATTTCTAAAACTGCATTAGGTACAAGTTATTTAAATACATATTATGTTCTAGTTTGCAGTTTACCTGTGTCAAAGTGGTCTATAGGCTGCTAAATCTTATCTGTTCTGCAGAGTGATTGTTCAGTCTTCTTAAAAACCATGTCTTGCTTCTTCTGTAACAAGTTACTAATAGAGATAGAGATGTGGTTATCCTGCTCTGCCCAGTGCTTGTCAGGCTGCACCTGGAGTATTGCTCCAGACACACTGGACAGAGGGTCCAAAGGAGGGCCATAAGCATGAGCAAGGGACTGGAAAACCTGCCCTTTGAGGAGAGACTAAAGGAGTTAGGTCTCTTCTCCCTGGAGAAGAGAAAGCTCAGGGGGTAGCTCATTACAGTACTTAAAGAGTGAGTACCAACAGGACAAAGGCTCTCAAGACAAAAGGTAATGGGTAAAAGTTTCACCATTACAGGTTTCATCTCAATATAAGGAGGACATTTTTTGCAGTGAGAACAATCTAACACTGGAACAACTTGCACAAGGATGTGGTAGATTCCCTATCACTGGACGTTTTCAATATGTGATTGGACAGTGTGCTAGATAATCTCATCTAGGCTCCCTCCCCTATGAAACATTGGACCAGATGGTCTTTGAAGGTCCCTTCCAGACTGAGCTGTTCTATGATTCTGTGAAGTTAGAGGGGAGATGCCATAGTGAAGGGGAGCTCACAGTAACTAAATGAATTATTTAGTACACAAAGGCAGGCAGAGCTTGCCCTTTGCAAATTACCTCCTACAGCAGACAAATTTCTTCTAGTATCTAAGCCAGGACAATAACTCCAAAGCAAAAAACCTACTCCAGTTCTTAGATAAAGTGCATAAGGAGATGATCTAGTTTCCATCAGGAAGAAGGATGCTCTAAAAATATTCAGGAGCAATTGCTCCCTAGTAAAGCAGCTTCTGGCACATTTCTTCTACATTATTTCACCCTGCAGCAACTTACTCCTTTCTAAGAACAAAAGCAATTACCCCTACAAGATTTTTCCTTTTACTACACCAAAAATCAGAGTGTTCTCTGAAGGTTTCAGGGTAGTTTAGCCTAGTCCCTGGTTGCTGGAGTTTTAAAGATAATTTAAGAGATTCTACAGCTGAAAACAAATATTTTAAACTTGCCTTTAAGGTCTTTTTATCACAAGTTCAGAGGAAAGCAAGCAGAAAAGACAAAAGGTAGCTTCAAGACCCAGTTAGGTATGGGAGTTTTGTTCCTGTAGTGATGCAGAAAAATGGGCCTAGAGTTGGGAGTTTTGGTCTCATTATCCCTAATAGATAGGCCAGTTATTTGGGCGCATCTGGAGAAGAAAAGATTCACTGTTAGTGCTCTAAAGCTTCTTTATTTTAAAGCTATACTTCATTATTATTGTCCACAAAGGAGTAAGGGCAGCACATGAGAAGTGCTGTAAGTAAAATTCAGCAGCCTGGTAAGAGCAAGATCTGGATAGCTGTTAGAAATCTCATACACAACAAATAAGAACTTAGTTTCAGTTCACCTCAACAAGGAGACAAAGAGCAGACCATCAAAGACCTTCCTGGAGATGAGACACTGCTTTGAGGAAGCAGTCTTTAAAGCATGTTGTTTCTCAGGAGACCGGAATCTGTAACAGCAAGAGTAGCTTCTCAGTCAAGGGAAATACCCTCTTTACTGAAATCAGATCTACCTTGCAGGTCCCAGCCTTCCAGTTTCACATCTCATACCATAGATTGGGATGTAGTTATGTGTGGGTATGTCCCTGCCAGAAAATTGTCCTAGTTGTTAGTTCCAGAACTGTTACTGGCAAGTTCAGGATCGCTTCTCTGGGTAGTCTGATGTCTGTCTTCCTTCTCCAGTTTCAGTAGTTGTTTATTACCGTATTCTCTTGTAAGTGGCATTAGTGAAAAGGATGATAGTGGAACACTTAGTAGGGGAAAAAAAGAGTATTTATATGCAAGTCATCTTGGCCAGAACCTAGATCTGGCATGGTATCTCAGAAACTAACTCCTGGACCAAGCTATCAGAATCTACCCAAATATTGGAATTGGATTAAAACAAAAAGCAACAGAAAGAAACAATATAGCTCTGGAAGAAAACTTACTTGAGGTGAGGGTGGGTGGAAAAGATGGGCACATGTACAAGAGAAACAATACCTGCATCGCCTTCCAAATGCCAAGATGTTCTCAGTACTCATGTACAGCAACTTGCAAAAAAGTCCATGATTAAGGAAGGGTACCCAAGGATGAGAGAGAGTGGTAATTTATCACTCAAATTTTGAATAAAATTTGAATGAAATCCACTGTTTTGAATAAAATAATCTTTGACTTTTTCTGTGATCAAGTGTCATGTTTTAGCACTTGAGGAAGCCAGTCCCAAGTTAGCTAATTTTTTATTTTAATAGAAGGAACTGACTTGCTTCCTGTGACTTCTTTCTATCCATCTTTGCTTTCTTTCTTTCTTTTTTTTTTTTTTTTACAGTTCCTCACTAATTTTGCATTTAATTCTATGCAGGTGTTCAGCATAAACATTTGGTATCAGAGCAGATTGGTATCAACTTTTTCCAAGACTTTTCCTCATATTTCTGTGATATGTCATTACCTTGATATCTGTAAGACTGCTGAACTTGACTTTGCCAAGTAGTGTGTAAGGTTGATTTTTTAATTTATTTTTTTTTACTGTCAACATTTTCCCCCAGTGCTTCAAATATTCAATAATCCTCAGAAGTGATAAATTGATAAAATGGGACTTAAGATGTTTTTTAGTTCACTGCTTCAAATGGTACATTTCTAAAAGTCATTAAAGTCATCCACGTAAGGCTTCTCTTCTGCATGGTAACTGCCAGAGCTAATAAAAAGTTGCAAGACTCACCTCAGGTTTAAGATATATTTCTAAAATGAACTTTTTGTCTCAGAAAGATTACTCAAAAATTAGGATTAAAATATTTTGTACCTGACACTGCTTGGCACTAGTGTTATTTCTTTGAGGCTGTCCAATGCTGTGTGCCTTGATTCGGAGTGGAAGCTGTCGTATTTACAGGAATGAGAGGTAACAATCTTTTATGCCCTGTATTCTGCAGAAAATGCCAAAAATGTGGCTCAGAGAGAATAATTTATTTGACAGCCTCATGACCAGGGTGTCTTTGTCATATTTTTCTGTGCGTGTGTGCAAATTTTCCAGTGGTTTTTTTTTTAATTCACTTGGCTCTTTTAGGTATTCGGGAGGACATTAGGCTATTCACCTTGGATCTCTGAACCTGAAAAAATATCCTCTGTAGAGACAATTTACAAAGAGATGAAAAAAAAGACAACTGAGTCTAGTGGTGGTGTCAGCGATGAAGATGACAGCGATGCCAGTGACAGCGATGCTGCAAGTAACCATGACTACACAAGGCGTGATACCGTGAGCCGAGTACCTCCTTCCTCCAACGTGCCAAATGGATTTGTGCCATACTCTACAACCAGTATATATGATGACACCAGCAGCCAGGCAAGTGAAAATCCAGACTCTGACCCAGAAGGTTTTGAAGAGCGTGGGATGGATATTGAAAAAGACAAAGACACAAGTAGTGAGTTGTTTAATCCTTTCTCTGAGGCAAATTGTGACTATTCTCCTAGACGAAGGAACAGTGCTTGCCTTACCATTAACTTAAAAACTGTGCTGTTGGGAGCCTCTGAAGAGAACCTGGATAGTTCTGCACCTCTTCTTTCTTCCCAGGAAGATGCAGCTGACTGGAAGTGTACTCATGGTTTTGAAGCAAAACCCCTGGATGACACAGGAAGTGTGCAGAAACCTCTCTGTCATAATGGCTCTCATGAATGGCAAAATTCCTCTTCTGATGAAAGTGACTTGTCAGATTCAGATACGAACCCAAAAACTGAATACATAAGAAGATGAATAAGTGATAACCACTCTTACTTTGTTACATATAAATTGATGTTCTCCAGCTCTATTTCTGTACTCAACATACAGATCTTGTAATTTTTAACATTCTGTGACTATATACTTGAACACTGAAAATACGCAACACTCATTCTTAACGAATATTTCTCTAATCTCTCAAGGTTGCTTCAGGTAGGCTTGAGGTTGGATTATCCAAAGGGAAACAAAAATGACTCTTCGGACGCAGCAGAAAGGGTAGTTGCTTCATTTTGCATTTTGATGATGAATTATGCCTTTCAGCTGTTAGAAAGTAAATCTTTTCTGTAATTCAAGTCAGAAGTTAGTTTGCAAGTGGTCTCTCAACCAGATGTCTTGTAGTTTGAAAAGATTCTGCTGTTATTCTTCCTGTTGAAGGATTATTCTGAAACCTGTTTTGTTGGGACGGATTACTGTATTCAAGTCAGTGATCCGCTTTCTTAATTTGTGCAGAGAAAGCTGATGAAGTGAAATAATTGGGGTGGAGATAGGAATACTGAACTTGCAAAGGACTTCTCCTTACTGAGAATCAAGGCATTAAATATACCTTTTTATATTTTTAATATAATTTTGTGCAATGATTTACTACACCTAAAAATCTTTTTATGACATGTAAAGTTTACTGCAGTCTACAGTTATCCTTTAACACTTGTGCTTCATACAAAGAAAAATTTTCATATCCCTGTCTTTTTCTACTGTGCTTATACATACCTTTTAAAAGCTACATGAGTTAGTCTGCTAAGAATGCACAGGTCATGAGCAGGCTTTTGGGTTATCACATAGCTGAAAAAAACAGCTATTTTCACCTTGTGATGATCTGCTTAAGTAGTACTTTTCTGCCCACAAGCAGTGTCTGGCTGCCCTGGCTGGCAGTCATTCTTTTGTTCAGGGTAGCCAAGAGTAGTGCTGGTGCACTACTACTAAGGACTAAGGAGGTGGAAGTACCCAACAGCTTGGACCTTGACTAGCTAATTACTTGCAGATTTACACAGAGTTAGTGGATGAAACTTTGCCTCATGCTGACCCTGTAACAAGGCTCTGCTGTTTACACAGTGTAGTGGGTGTGCACCTCCCCACCATGGCAGAAGCCATGGGCATCACTCACCTAAGGAAAGGCAGTGGGACTGTGCCCAACCCAGAGAAGGCCAAACATGCCTTGTAGCCTCTTAATGACAAGAGATGACAAATGGGCCAGAAAGAACTGTATTAAGTCCCCACAAAGAACTGGTATTTTCTCTTGGCAAAAGTAATAGCTTGAGAAATAGCCCTTTTTACTCTGAACAATAAAACTACTCTCCCCTAAGTTTATGCTGGTTTTGCTCAGAGATGCTGAGTGTTCTGGCAGAAGCAGCAGCATTAGCATCTTTTCTGTAGGCTGGAGCCTGAAGCCAGAAGATAATCCTTAGGTAGCATTTTTATTGCCTCAGGATCAAGATGCGTATGCTTTGTTTGATGATCTTCTTTGTGCTGGCCTCCCCTCTCCAGCCCTCGCAGCTGAAGATGCTCTTCAGGGATGCAGTTTCCAAGCAACAAGGCATCACTAACATATTTTCAAACACAAGCGCAGCTTTCCAAACCTGTTCAGGGAAGGCTCCGGTGCTGAGCATCCTCCTCCCGGTGCGGGGAAGACCGGGAAGGCTTTAGCGAAGCTGGGGTGAGCCGAGCTGCTGTCCCGCGGCGCTCGGAGGAGGCTGAGAAGCCCCGGAGCTGCGGCCCCGCCCCGCCGAGGGAAGGCGGAAGGGTTTCGGGGCTGGCCCGCCTGCCAGGGCAGCGCCCGGTGCCA